CCTGTTCAGCAGACAAATTTGTCACAGTTCTGAAAAAACACAAAGGTCTTTGCCCTGCTTCATTGTATTTAAGAATTTATTGCCCATCTTACTCATAGAGAGAAAAAAACCGATTTACAACTCAGCTAAGTTACAGCCAAAGAGGCTGCCCAAGCCATGAACTGTGGGTGTTCAGTGTAAGGTTGTTTAGCAAGGCCTAAATTCAGGCCATAAGTGCTTTCATAAGAGGCTGTAAATCACTTTAACTTTTATACACTGTGGCAACATGTGAGCAGAGGAATGTGGCTGGTCTGTGCTAGTCCCAGAAAAGTTCCCAGATGAAGCCAGCAGATTGGGCAGCAGACATGTGATACTGAACCTTTGAGTAAAATACTCGGACTTGTACCTCCCCTGTGCTATGTGCGGATGTGTCTAGGGCAGAGGGGTGGGAAACCAGCACAGAGGTGCCACAGGAACAGAATGCACACGGGCAGCTTGAATACCCAATGGGAAAAGTATTGCTAAGCAGTAAGCAAACTGTAAAACACAAGTCAGACAAAACATCTGGCAGCTGCTTCAAATAGTTTTCTGTCTGAAGGGCAGACAAGCCTACAATAGTTTCGAATCAAAACATGTGCAAGGACAGGATCAGTACTCCAATGTGTTTTGTTCAAGCACTGAATGAGTTTTGTTCCCTTCAGCACTGTTTTGTATGCCAAGAAAGGTTATGCTTTGAGTTAGGTTTTTAATTTTAATAAACTTTACTACATAAATCATTATGTATTTCCTTCTACAGTCAAACACAACTTAGCATTTGGCATAAGATCAACAGCATTAGCTCTGCCTAGGAAGCATATGGGAGAGAAGAGGGGGAACATGCTAAGAAATGTTTTGCATAATTGCCTTAACTTATGCAGGAAAGAAGGTGTGACTGCCAAAATACGTTCTTAGAAGTATGATGCATATCCTTCTAAGTTTGCACATCTCAGGCACAGGGAAAAGGAGAATTCCCTTGTGCTGGTACTGGCTAAGGACTTGACAGGTACATGTCTAGGCTTCAACAGGGAAGTTGCTTGGGCTCAGAGAAATCAATTGTCAGTTCTGCAGATAAAAGGAGGGATTGGTAACTGTCCTCCCCACCCGCAAGTTTTTCTGTCTTGACATTGTCATAGCTGTGACCAAGATCCACAGTAGGGGTGATTACTGGGACAGACATGCTGCACAGGAGTGTAACCTGCACCCAACACTGGCTTTCCTTTGGAAAGGAATTGTGACAAGACTGCTTAAGTAGTATGACACACTTATCAGCTACTAAACTCCTCTGCTGAACACTTCCCCTCTTGCACACTTTTCTAGACTCCAGTTACTTTCATCAAAGCCTCAACTTCCAGGAAGAAACAAAAGCTACTCCACTGCTTGTCTAGAGCATCAGGATACAAAGATTCTCTGCAGAATTACCACAGCACTTTTGTATCACTAGGAAGGCAACAGCGGGCAAACTATCAAGGCCAGAAGCTTCCTATAAAATGTAGGAGCAGTTCCATGTGCATAAACGTGATTAGTCAGCAAGCAGCAGGCAGATGAGATGCTGGCCAGGGTAACAGGGTTGGTTTTCAAGGAGGCCCTGATACAAGTAGGACTTGCAGTTTTTAATGCTACTCAAAGGAGTAGGTCTGCCTGCCTCATGCCAGTGCTTGAACACTGGCAATAGCAGGGGAAGCAGAGAGCCACTGATTCATTAGGACTTGCTAATCTGTGATATCATTTGTTGATTCCACCAGGTCCAATCCCGGGCTCATGACTTCCTCTGCTGTTGCCATGGCACTGTACATAAACACCACAGGCTCCCAGCCCTGAGCAGGTCATTTGTTTCAAATATTCCATGCAGCTGGAACACAAGCCTGTTTGGGTGTCTGGAGCTGAGCATGAACTAATTTCTCAGTGTTCTGCAAAAGCCCCACCTTATGCACCCTCCCCAGCCTGCTGCTCTCCCAGAACCCCTCCAGCCACACTTCCAGCAAAGCAGAGGCAGCCTTCCACTGAAAGGCAAGGGGAAGCTGGCCTCGTTCACATACCGGCAGAAATAAATATTTCACTGAAGTCTTTCACTACCTACAGCAAAACAAAAGTGATGATTATTGAATATACTGGATATTTAGGCTTAAGATCTGCAAACAGTTCTCTTCTACATGTGGAAAACCAAACACGATTAAGACATCCAAAAATTAAAAAAATTCTTGCCCTGACTGGAGACAAAGACAAGAAACCACATGCTTTTTTAATTTTTTTAAAGCTCTCCTCACCCAGTACCCTTATAAGGCAGTTTGTAAGCATACCTGAACTTTTGTTGAGGCTCACATGTTGCAGTGTGTTTGTGTGACCTGATTAAATCATTTGGTTTTCACACACAAGATGGTAGCTGCAGGGAAGACAGCAGTGTGTGGAACAGGAGTGGGAATTAATCCCTTGTCATAACTGACAAGAGTACCAAGTCATCTCACCTCCAGTTAGTTTAGAAAGGCTTAATCTAACCGCTGATACAATTCAAGACCATCTCTGTATCGCACAGATTGGAAGTGGAGGAGTCTGAAGGCACAACCAGCAAGCAACAAACAGTTCGGACTCCACAAACAAATATGATCCATATCTCCGCACAGCCCAGGAATGAAGCCTCTTGTGCAAACAGATCTCAAAATGCATGAAAACACAGCAACTTACAGCAGTGGGTAGTGAGTGACTGAAAACTAATACCAAGTGACTTGAGATAAATCAAGTTCATGACCTGAAGAAATTACCCAGAACATGAAATCAATCAGCCATTTGTCAAGCACACACAATACAGGAATGACTCTCCCCACACTCAGCTTAACCTGCCACAGCACCTTCTGTAATTAACTGTGCTGTTCTACTGGCTAGGGATCCTTTCAGCCCTCACCATTTTAGTTCGCTTTCTTCTATCCACCATCTCCCTTCCTAAGAAAAAGGATAGTCGAGTATCAACATAAAGTAGTACATTAGTGACTTGTTTTCATATGAGCTTTTCTGGAAGAAAAAAAAGAATAGTTGTTTACTGTAATCTAGGAGTGAAATCTGCAAACCTAGACAATGCATCAAGTCTGGCAAGATAATCAGAGCCCTGTCTATTGAGTCTACTTGAATATGTTTGAAGAAAAGAGTATGGTGTAATAAGTCAGTCATAAATGAAGTTACATTAGGAAACTAAAGGCTGCTGTCTCATCACAGATTTTAGTCAACTCCATCTGGAATAGACATTTTTAGGTAGTGTCAGCTCTACAAAATCTCAGGTTATCACACCCTACCACCCTGTACCAATAGCTGCAGCTTGCCCTCCACCTGTATACACCTTTTCGATGCCAGCTTTCAACTGCTACTCTTCCAAGGAGAGACAAGGCCACAACACCTCTTGTTTTACCTGTTTGGGCTGGCTTCTTGGGAGTAAGCTCACCATTCATGTAGAAACTAAAGAAAGACATAAAGAAATCTGATCATTTCATGCAAATAAAAACAAGCATCAAGTAATATTTAATAAAGTTTATTAGGTTACTGAGTATTATCTACAGTCATAAAATAGAAAGTCAGAATTTAAAACTGTACAAGCAATGTATTGGTGAAGTGAGAAGAGGAGGAAACAAGGAAGCACAAAGAACATTAGAAGTAGGGAACACGGCTGCTTCCCTGGAGATCTGGAAGACACTGGTTCAAGTTGAAGGCAACCAAGTAGGGCTCCATATACACTGAATTTTCTTGTGTCTCACCCTGTAACAGAAACTAATACAAACCCCTATGTTAAAAAAATCATACAATAGTAGATTAAAAAAGGGGCATATCACACCCCACCCAGTCTTGGCACCAATTCTGTGCTTTAAAAATATACTATGCAAGTAGTTTATTTTAAAAAAGGTACCCTACAGCAGCTGTTTAAAACATGTTCTTATACATACACCACAAATATATATATATTAACATTTTCAACAACTAAACTCATTTGTACCTACACAGAACTGAAGGGATAACAAGAGCAAAAAAACCAACCACACAAACATTTTTCAAGACAAAGAAATGTGCAAAATAACCCCAGAAAGGCAGCATAGTAACCTGTGGAGAGGTCAAGAGAGCAGCTCCTGCTAGTGAAGGAGTGTCATCCTCTTTACTTGGCTACTGAGGTGAGAATTTATTTGGGATGTGCTGATGTTGCCTGAATTGCTTGTCCTGTTTATTGCAGTTCTCCCCTGCCCCCATGCCCAGCTCTACAGAGGTTCAGTTCCTTCTTGCTGTGCCTGCAGATCACCCCACTGGCCTCTGTTAAAGTCTCCCAAGTTACATTCCACAGCAATCACCTTCTGGATTTCTCATCTGCTGATGGTACTTCTGCAGCCACACTGCTACAACCTTCTCTGGGACAACTTCCCACCCCCAAGCAAGAAACAGAGAGAACTATAAGTGGAGATTATGCCGATGGTCTATGACAGACAAAGCCTGGTTTTGGATGACTAAGCAGCTTATCTAAGAACAGAACTCCCTGGCGGAGCCATTAGAGAAATACTCATATGCTTCTCTGAAGCCTTCACATGGAACAGGCCGTACAGAAAGCAGACCTAAGATGGCTAAGAGGACCTATATCTCTGTGTAACAAATCTCAGCTCATATAGCCTGTCTCACCCTATTGCAGGAGAAGTTGTCCCTTCCCTGTCCCCACATCAGCAAGGAACCCCTGATCCCAGACTAAAACCTGCAGTTTTAATTCAAGAAAGAGAGCAGGTGAAAACATGACTGCTCTATCAACTGAGTCAAACCCACTAAGAAGAGGCAGAACAGAGAATGGATCAGGAGAATTGAGAAAGCCATGGTGATAAACAGGAAAGCAGGATTCACTGTCTATGAAATGACATTAAAACATGGTGACAAGTCCTGGCAGAGACAGACATCAGCAACATAACCACCTTCTCCAAATTAAGGAGTGTCCCAGTGGAAACATTCTTGGTTTTGGTGTTTCAGGATTAGGGGGTGGGGTTTTTTTGGTTTTTAAAAACTCAGCAATAAATTCTTCTTGGCATTTCAGATTCTTCCCAACTTTGCTGGCCACACTGGGCCTTTTCATTCTTAGAACCTGGTCTTAACACTTCTACTCCTAATGCCTTCCATTTCCCCAAATTATGTTCTTCACTTTAGTTGGTACAGAAAAATCATTCACTCCTAGGCTCTACAATCCAAAGGATGCAGTACAGCCTTTTCTCAGGAGAAGCAGGGAAGCACAGAGCTTCTGTAAGTGTTCCTTTTGTAAGTGTGCAGGGGAATTGACTTCCAAAGAACAAAACACTCAGTTTTGAGTAATCTCAGGATTACTGGAGAGCTTGCCAATAAGGGCACATGGAGACTTAAGCAGTGGCAAGAATACTTTGGCCAAGGAGTTCCAACAGTAGCGATGACATGATGGTGGAGAACCCACTGCCCAGTGGGTCAGCTCCAGATATTTTGCCTTGGTTCCAACTCTCTATCCTTGAACATGAAGGTCATTGGTAGAGCAGGTAACTCTTGAGGGAGGCTGGTAGTGGCAGTGTAGGGATCTCATTCAGTCTTTCTTTGCCCAGAGCAAGCCTCACAGCTCGCCGACACAAGTCCATCAAAGGCAGTGGTTCAGCTGGGAAGAGAGACCCAAGATATTAACATCCCAACTCACAAGTTACACATTCATTTTGCTAGTTCTAAAAATCCCCCAGAAAAGATTGAACAAGCAAAGTGAATGCCTGGCATGTTTGCAGGACCTAAGCCATTCAGCATTCACATATCAGCAACTTCAACTCAAACACAGAGGCAGAGCATTATGTTTCTGTAGAGGTTATTTAATCCATACATGTGTGTGAATGAAAAGATACTAGAATCCCCAAATGGAAGTTCCCCTTCTGCAATACCATTCAAGTCAGAACACATCTTCTAGGCTGTGACTCTACATTGCAGTGTCCAAACACCTATGTAAGACATTTGCTTTAGGAAGTCTGCAGCAAACAGTTTGATAGCATCTTATGAGTAGTTAGAGAGTACCATGATTTGTTTCTTATATAGTAGGATATAAGAGCTGTCAACCCCTTCATTTGTACTACCTACTTCCCATGAAAAACAAAGCCATCCATCAAAGCTTCATGTTACTACTTGTATTGTAGTGTTTTCCATTGGAGGATTCTGTCTTTTATTATAAACCTGGGAAAGATAACAGGCCTTTGGCTATCGTTTTTGCATCCTGTACTTACAGGCACTGAACAAGATAATACTAGTTTTTCAGGAACGGCCCTTTGACACTGAGGAGTCATTCACAACATACAGGGGACTAAGGTTAAAGCCAGAGTCAACACATCACAGCTGCACAGGAGGAAGACACAGATTAGTTTCTCACACCTCCTGTCACTAAGTCTGTCAAAGCTCACAGTTTGCTGCTCAAGCTTGAGGGGTTTCTCCTCCCCCAAGAGTGCTAACACAAAGACACCCCAAATTAAGCAGATAACTGGACATCCTTCTAATAGCCTGAGGGCTCAGCGTGCACCATTAGAAAGCTTCCTTTACAGACATCTTGGGCTAAACACAGACACCTAAAAACATCCACAGGCATGGAAACGTTTGACTGAGAAGCTGCAGTTTTCAGGAACCTTGATAGATGCCAACAGCTCTAGCTTCCACTACTACAAGCCAAATTAATCTGACTGTTCATGCAGCTGTTTTAAACTGCTGAGAGACAGGAAAACCTTAGTTTCTGTGAGCACAGGCATGTTACTGCATTTTTTTAACCAAAATTCATTTCATCAATAAGCTGATTACAAGTTCCTTCCTTCCAGGTTCAAAGGTAACAGATAACATTGAAAAGCTCAGAGAAGAGTGTTGTCAGTAGCCTCTCATCAGGCCACTCCCAATGCTCCTTTGGAAAAGTAAACAGTCATAATGTTCCACATAGAAAACACTTCCAGTGAAAAGTGGAGAAAGCTAATTTTTATATAATTGTTGTCAAAAAGTCTGTGAGAAGGAGTTTGTTAGCTGAGGAGAGACTTGGTCGCAAAGTCAGAAAATGCACACTTGAATTGGTCTGTCTCCTCCTCAAGTTAGCAGCCAGAGTTGAACTAATGCCCTATTTCCCCACTTCTCCTTCCCTGCTGTGGATCACCAGTTATTACCTGCTCCACGGGAACCTGAGTGGAATGCCTTTTCTAGCAGTCCTCCAAAAGTTCTCCCAGTACTTGAAGCATTAATTATTCCTTATAATAATAAGAGGAATCTTACCTCTATATGCACACCTCTTTTTGCTGCCTCTTCTCCAGGGACAAGTCTCTACAGCTGGACTGCACATCTCTGCTCTGGCTGTGATACTGCCAGAGAAGCCTATTACTGGCAGCACTCCTTTGGCACTTCCCAGTGTAGCTTATTCTTAAACCACTGGGGTACAAATATGCTGTATTCAAAGTCTGTCCCAATTCCTCCTGCTCCATATGGGGACAGCTGGGACAGAGGCATTGTCTAGCCAACATCCCAGAGGACAAGAGGCCCTGACCTTCAAAGCCTATAAACATTAACACAACAAATACAGTTTAGTTTAACGGCCTTAAAAAGCAGAGGATCTTCTTCCCTCAGAGATTAAGAACAAGAACTTTGTCCTCACCTAGTTTGTACTGCTAACCCAGTCTGACAGGAGATGTTGAGACCAAAAGAGAAAGCACACACTTATCTGACCTCCTTCCATTCACAAGCACTACAATCACTGGACAGTGTTGCTATTGAATGCTCAGAAGTGGTTAGAGCCAGACACCTTCTTTCTGTCTGTGCCAAAATAGCATCCCGTCATTCCTGGCCTCCTGCCCACAATTCACTCCTATGCTGAGAGCGCATTACAACCAAATCCAATACTGGAGGTGGCCGTTTCCTTGCTAAATGCACTTCTGTGCCAACAACTCCACAGACTTGCTGGCTTTGAGGGGAGCTGCAGATTTTGGCTTTGACCCTTCAGAAAAACATGGTTTCTGGAGCTGCTGCCATTCTGTAAGCTGTTGTGGCAGAACGCGCTAGATTTCTTTCCTTTGGTGAAAAAAGTACTCTGCCAAGAGCTCTCTATTTGGTCTTGCTGAGTTGAAGCGTATTTCTCAAAGCACTTGTGGATTTTGGTGCTATCCCTTTGCAAGGCTTTCCTGGTTATTCTGACAGCTCAGTTTTTCTGGTGCCCAGTGTCAGCTTTGTTGTACTGCATGTCACTGGTGCCAGGGGTTTGCCATTGCAGGCCCAGCATTAGAATATGTTCTAAGCACAAAAAGGCTATAGTATCCTATAGCCTTTGGGCAGACACTGCTCTGAAAAGCAGGGGAAACACTACTCTTTTCATATCAATACTGCCAAATTTATTTCATTAACAACATAAATCCAGATTTTAATCCACTTCCTTCACCTCTCTCCTCCACCCTACCCAGAGGACTGAGTCACAGTCTGGCCCAACGGGAACTTCTGACTATGAGAGATAACAGACTTTAGCACATTTGCACAGCCAAATTTATTACTAAGCTTAGCTAGAGATTGATGTCCCTGTTAGTAAAAGGCCTGGCATACAAGTTGGGGTGGCTACAATATCCAGCCCCACATTAGAAGTGAGCACACCCTGCCCTGAAAGCAGCAGAGAAATGAGCTACTTTTTTGAAAAATGAGCCATTCCCATTTCCTTGGATAGGGACAGATCTTCCCACTCTTGCCTGCAAGGGATTTTTAAAAGTCCCTTCATTAGACATTCAAGGAATGCGATCGTCCCTCAGAGAGCGTTTCCTATGAAGAGACACCAGGATTACATTGCCAATAACGCAACTGTCAGAAGGACATTCCTTCTGATACTTTGGTAGCAATATAGAAAGATTTATCATCTCTAGATAGACAACTGGCATCATCTTCTCCCACCATACTACTTCCCCAAACCCTGCTTGCTCGCTGCAGGGCCTTGGTAACAGTGCATGTGTACAGCCAGACAAACCTTTTGAATTAGCCATTAAGGATTCAAAGCCGCATCCAGCAATCCTACTGCTGACAGGAAATCCTCACCTCTCTAGCAAAATGGCAACCCTCCCCAGGATGGTCTAGTAAGCCTGCACTTAAGTAGCACACAGATCTGTGCTGCTAGAACAAATACAAGGATTTATACTCACGGTCAAGTCCATTCAAGTAGCGCATCCGTATTTCACAGTGTCCCCACACTGCGCTTACCACTGGATATAGCTTTTTCCCTTTGAGTCCCCGAAATGCAACACCCATGTATTGCCCATCTACAATGAAGCTCAGTGTCCCATCATCCATGTCCAGAACCACCAGGAAGGAGTCCGGCACAATGAAAGTTTCATCTGGTTCTAAGAAGGCAGGATAGGTTTTACTCGGCTGGTTCTTGCCATCATGGTACAGTCTGTTGCGCCCAAGGTCCCACCCCCAGGATTCATGGTTATTTCCTACAAGCGTTGTGTACCCTACTGAATGCAAAGGGGCTTCTGCTGTTGCCACCCCAACCACAGCATGCGTGCCTCGCTGTCTCATTGCCCACGTGATCTGCCACACATGCAGTCCTCGTGTATATCCCACTTTGCCTCTGATGGCATCTGTACTCTGAGCCACCGGATGCCGGTGAAATATGAGTTTGTCATCCTCTTTCACAAATACATTCAGCGAGCGATCATCATTGTTCCATGAATGCAATAACTGGACTTCGTACGATACCGGAGGCATGTCCAGTAGCAAGTCCAGACGTGTGGGTTTGCTGTAGTCAAGTCCTTGGAGTTCCTGTTTCAATGGCCTGTATACAGGGTCCCTCATATCCACAGTCTTTATCCCACCTGTGACCTTCTGACCCATTGTGTGTGTTCTGATTTTGCCTATTTATAGGCTCCCAAGGCAAGCTCATCGATTTTCCCAGCCGCTCCTGCTGTCATTCAGCCCTACAGAAAAGGTTGCTAGGAGACCTTGTCAAGATGTGCACCAGTCAGTATTGCCTAATGGATAGAAAGAAAAAACAAGAGATGAGTTAAACATTAGCACATACAGCCGTGTATGCACCATTTACAGAGCACAGTTTTAATGTGTTTATCCTGACAACTTATCCTTCCTTTCCACCGGGAAAGTAGTGTAATGCAGGCTACTTACACAGTATAGCCTGCATAGCAGAGATAGCATATAGATCAAATGGGTACTAAGCTTGTAATGCTTCCTTCAGAAAGGCACTTGAATTTCTGCTGCTTTGTATAAGGAATTCAGCCACCAGAGATGATCATCTTTACAGTGAGTGCGCTGCTCCTTATTACTGCAACACTAAACCTTAAGAGAGCACATCTGTATTTAGGCTGCCTCCAGAAAACCTGGCTTTTTCACATCATGATCATCATATGTTCTCCAGGCTGGAAAGTTTGAGAAAAGAGTTTATTCAGTGAAGGACTCGGAACCCAGTAATGCTTGAGACTTAATTTTCTCCCAACTGTTTCAGTTGGTAGGAGGACTGAAAACAGGGTCTTGTATAAGCATAATTTTGCCTGGCCTTCCAGCCTAGATCATACCACAAGGTCAAGCTGAGCAAGACATCCCAGTGAAGGCCCTGCCCACTGGTGTTCGCTGCTCCAGCTCCTTCCAACCACCATGGAGAATTTCTTCTGCCAAAGCCACCTCTATAGCTATCCAAAATGGAGGATCACACAAGGCATTTAATGCTCAGAAAGAGTCCAAAACAGCTTCAGTCAATTCCTCAAAGATAGACCTGAGCTTACAATTGTCTTTGGACCCTGTAGTAACATGCTACAGCTGAAGAGTAGCAAGGGATTTGTTTGTACAAGTAACTGCTCTGCACAGCTTTAGCCTGAGCTGTCACTAGCAGGAAAGAG